AGGGAGGGAGGGAGGGAGGGAGGGATGGAAGCTACAAAGGCTTATTTTTACTGCCATTGAACAATGTCACGTTAATCTCTATTCAAATATTGACTTTATTGTATGAATGAAAGTTGAGACCAAACCAGACACCGCATCGCTTTGAAGTCCAAAATATTAAATAAATAAATAAATAATTTCTTTCTTTTTTTTCTTTTTTTCATCGTAAAGATAATTTGAGTTCAAAATTCCACATTTTATTTTATATTATTTCATTTGTGTTATTTTCCTTGTTTAAAAAAGAGATGTTTCGCATTATTAAGACACTCCGAAAAATAAATATTTAAGGAGTGTTCGACTCAGTTTCAAGGAGGGAAAAAGGTTCGTGCCAATCGTGGGTTTGTATTTTTGTCAACTTTGATCAAATTACTGACGATTTCAAGGACACAGAATATTCAGTATTAGTGTTGAAATTGCTCACAGTTCCGCACATTTACAGAGCTAATTGATAAAATAAACTGGACAGAACAAATTGGAAAACTGGCGATTTTAATGAAATGAATCATAGGGAAATTTATTCGAGAAATTCCGATTCTAATTCGACTTCACTTTTTCATTTGTAATGATCAATTAGGTCACTTCATGCAGTAACTGTTACTGGCCAACCAATTTAAAAAGGTGACATAAATTAAACGGCTAAAGAGCAAAACAGAGCAGTTGTCGATGATTAGAAATTTACTACCCCAGTTCAGAAAACAAACGACTTCTTTTAGAGGTTTAGTGGTTAAAACGGAGTTCAAATACGACCCAGCTCCGTCTGCATGGATTTGGCGAGACACTGTGAGTATTCTTTACTACGTATAATGTTGATTTATTATAGTTTTATTTCAAGGTGAACCAAAAGTAGAGTCTAAAGGTTAGCGATTGATCAATCTACTTGTATTAACAACCAGACGACAGGTTGAGATGAGTAAAAAGTTTTTGGCATTCAAATAAGAGTGGTACAACTTGAAGATCGTGTGGTGTTACGAGTATGATTAGAGCACACACACTCTGCCTAGCTCTCACTCAGTGAAACGAAACTCGAGAATTGGTTGCTGTTAAACAACGAGACTTTCTCTGACTGAAGCGATCAAATTTTCACTCTTCTTGTGTTTTAACTAATGGTTTCAAGTCAGGGCTGTTTTTCGTAATCAAATGAAGTCGCCGACTTTTCCCAAACTCGCTTAGTAAATGACAGAGAAACAACTCTCCCAGAATGGAAATGTTTTTATTCTTATCAAACTCAAAGCTCAACTAGATTGTAACCGTTTTTGCGCTTTATTTCAGAATCAGTAAAGATTTAATAACTAAATTATACTTTTAAGGACCATAAACTTTGGTTTTGTCGGTTGTTTTGTCTAATGACGTAGTCATCATCGTTGTTGTTGTGTTTGTGGTGGTGTTGTCGTTATTGTTGTTGTTTGACGGTGGTGGTATAATTCAGGTTTTAAGACTTTAAGATTTTTTTAGGTTTCGTACTTTGAGTCTACTCGGTTTTCTTAGACGATGCCGGATAGGAGTTTTAAGTTTAAAGTGTATATCAGGTCTAGAATTTTTTTACGGTTTTGGCATCTCTAGATGATATAAATAAATATTCCAAAAAAAATTTTTCGATTTCGAATTTTTTTCACCTCGAAATCAGCCTTCAAAGTTAGATTTCTGGCGACGCCCAGTCGTGT